AAGCACCTGCAGATGGGCCCAAGCAGAGAGCGGTGCTAGAACAGGTGGAGGGGAAGGGAAGAGAGGGACGGGGTACTGAGGGCAGCTGGCGCCACAAGGCTCCCAGGAAGCACCAAGGCGAGGACAGGGCCATCTGAGCTGCAGGGAGAGGAATCTGCTTGCTGTAAGAGAGCCCGGCTTTGCCAAAATGAACAGGACAGACCTGAGGACACATGCCCTCTGTTAGTCTTTACGTTACAGTTTGAGACATGAAATTTGAAACAGCAGTAGATAAATAAATGAAGTGGGAATATGGAGAAAATAGTGATGCAGGAAAGTAAGCACAGAAGTTATGTTTTAAATATAATCTCAGTTGATATCACATTAGTCTTCTGTGAATTTGATTCTACAGTAAAAGGTGTGTATGTGTGCATGGTGCGTGCGCACGCACACATTGGAGCCATGGAGGACGTAGAGCCCCCAGGGCAAAGGAGATATGGTTCCTCATCCACCTCCCACCCTCTGCTGCACCTCGTCCCTCGGGGGGAGAAACAAGTGCCCACCAGCCCTGCCCTGCATCCTGCCCACACCCAGGATACCAGTGCCTCATCCACTACGGACGGGCCCTCATCCAGGAGCAGACGCACCAGACTTGGGCACATCCAAAGTTGAATAGCTCCTCTCTCGCCAGCAGGCCCTGGGAGAGAGAGGGTGGACCCCCATCCAAGGGAGCAGGGGTTGCAGTTCTCCTGGAGGCACTGGGTGGCCAGGGAAGGGCCGGGAGTGTGCCATGCTCCCGTGCCACATGGCCTGCCTTTCACTCTGTCTGCACAGGCTCCAGGCTCCCACCAGCCCTCAGTGTGAATATCACTATAAAGCAATTACACACTCAGCATCTGCAGCCAAGTTCAGTGGTAGCTTTATGAATTTCACCACTTCTTTAAGCAGAAGCCTGGGGACGGAAGGAAGAAAGCCGTGGGGTAAGGTAGTACTGTTTGGAGAGGCAGGGCCCGACCAGGTTTTGTCCAGGTGCTTGGGTCTAGCGGCCGGGCTTCTGCCCCACCGGACCCCCGGCGGCGCCCCCAGCCTTGGTTCCTGGCCCAGCCCAGCATACCAGTTTAAGACTCTCTTGTGCTGTCAGGCCCCTCAGGAAGTGGGACTCACCCCAAACCCCATTCCAGGTGAGGCTTCATCTGTCCCTACTGCCTCTTGCTGGGATCCACCACTGCCAAAGCCCTCCTCTCAGTTTCCCCAGTGAGCCTGTGCAGCCCCTCTTCCCCCTGCCCCCCACCAGATGCCTGGGCTCCGGCTCCTATGCCAGCTCATCAAAGAAGTTTGGGACCCCTCTTGGATTTGTCCCACTTTGCTGAACTTCACGTCTGACAAGTAACCAAGGCCAATGTGTGTTTCTCTTTAATCACTTCATGGGCTGTAGCTCCTCCCCTTGGCCTCTGTGATCTCCCACCCAAAGCTCTCACCCCTTGTTGGGGACAACGTGTGGGCCCCAGGCTGGCCACACTGCCCTCCATCTCCAGGGCCCCCACCCCTCATTGCCAGATGAATCTTTTCAAATATCCCAGTATCGCATCACCAGCATGTGTCCTTTTGACGTCAGAGTCTTGTTGGATCTGACGTACAGGCCCAGCTCTGTGGGACATGAGATGAGCATGTCATGGGAAACTCCTGCCCCCAGAGACCTCGCCGGTCCCGCCGACTCAGATCTTCTCCGACATTACTGGGCCTTTTCCTGCCCTGTGTTATTCCCCTTGCCTGGAACACTTCTAACCCCAGAATGTCCTCTCCTTCCCTCCAGGCCGTGTCTATTAGCTTTTAAAGAACTCTGTTGATGGCTTAGAGCCTCCTAAGTGCAGCAGCCATGGCCTTCAAACATTTTGTTTGCTTAGCTCCTAAAAGAACTTTGGAAAAAAGTGTTCATTTGACCATTTAAGGTTGAGAAGTGAAATATTAAGTACAATTATTTTTCTAAATGTGAGGTTAAAGAATAAACACTTTATAAGCTGGAAGATGAGGACCAGTTACTAGGAATAAATATTTGATGACATGATTTGCTTCAGTAGATTTTAACCAACTCATTGAATAAGGCACACCAAATCTGAAAGTCATTGTGCAAAACTATTACTCATGGGCTTTAGCCAGCGTTATCTTGAAAATGTTTTAATTCTGGAAAAATCCCAATTACGTTTAAAAAATTACATGAGGCATGAATACACTTGAGTGGCACTGCACCCTCAGAAGGGCCAGGAGGGGTAAGGGCCCCTTGCTGAGGACAGCCAAGGGCCGTGCTTTCCTTCTGTGAGGTGAGCAAGAGTATTGTGAATTCAGTCATGTTCTTAGGCAGTTTTGGAAAATACAGATACTGAGGTCCTGGAAATGGATTCTCCCAGAACTGCCAGCGTGCTCCTCCCCTTCAAGAGCTCAGGGCAGGCCCCAGCGAGCTACAGCCCCAGAAGGACCTGGTTGTGAGTGGAGAAAGGAACCTGTGTGTGCGCCAGGGAGGGCGCAGGTCAGCTTCCCTAAAGGCCTCACCTCTGACAGTTTCTGGTTGTCCCCTGTCACCGTACCCCCAGCTCACACACCAGTAGTTACCTTCTGTTTCACACCGGGTGTGTCAGGCTCACACACACACACACACCATGCTGTGTGTTCTCAGGACCGGCCGTGCCTCCCCATTGTTCGCTGAGCTCTGTGTTGCGTCCTGTTCACGTAACAGCTGGCACAACACTGAGCACAGAGCTCGGTCATGCTTCCAAGTAGCAAGCTCTCCTTGACCCCTGGGGTGGCTGGTTCTGCCATGTGAGGGCTTTTTTTTTTTTAATCAAAATTTTGTTAGTTAACATACGGTGAAATATTCACGTGATTCATCACTTACATACAACACCCAGTACTCATCCTTAGTACCCATCACCCATCTAGCTCATCCCCCACCTTCCTCCCTCCTTCAACCCACAGTGTGTTCTCTCTCATTAAGAGTCTCTTGTGATGTATTTGCCTCTCTCCTTTTTACCCCCTTCCCATGTGTTTATATGTTTCTTAAATTCCACATGAGTGAAATCATACGGTATTTTTCTCTTATTTCCCTTTGCATAATACACCTAGTGCTAGCCACATCATTGCAAATGGCAAGATTTCATTCTTTTTGATGGCTGAGTAATATTCCATTGTATATATACCATGGCTCCTTTATCCATTCATCAGTCAGTGGACGTGTGGGCTCTCTCCATAGTTTGGGTGTTGTTGATAATGCTGCTGTAAACATTTGGGTGCATATGTCCCTTCAAATCTTTTTGTATCCTTTGGGTAAATACCTAATACTGTAATTGCTGGATCATTGGGTAGTTTCTATTTTTAGTTTTTTGAGGAACCTCCATACTGTTCTTCAGAGTAGCCATACTGGTTTGCATTCCCAACAGTGCAAAAGGGTTCTCCTTTCTCCTCATCCTCACAAACACCTGTTATTTCTTGTGTTGTTGATTGTAGCCATTCTGACAGGTGTGAGGTGGTATTATGGTTTTGATTTGTTGATGTTGAGCATCTTTTCCTGTGTCTGTTAGCCATCTGGATGTCTTCTGTAGAAAAGTATCTATTTCTGTCTTCTACCAATTTCTCAACTGGGTTGTTTTTTGGGTGAGTTTGAGAAGTTCTTCATAGATTTTTGATACTAACCCTTTATCTGATATGTCATTTACAAATATCCCTTTCCATAGACTGCCTTTTAGTTCTGTTGATTGTGTCCTTTGCTGTGCAGAGGCTTCTTATCTTGATGAAGTCCCAATAGTTCAGTTTTACTTTTGTTTCCCTTGCCTCTGGCGACGTGTCTAGTAAGAAATTGCTGTGGCCAAGGTCAAAGAGATTGCTGCCTGTATTCTCCTCTAGGATTTTGATGGTTTCCAGTCTCACATTTAGGTCTTTCATCCATTTTGAATTTTTCTGTGTGTATGGTATAAGAAAGTGGTCCAATCTCATTCTTCTGCATGTTGCTGTCCAGCTTTCCTTATTATTTTTTTTAATGTTTATTTTTGAAAGAGCGTGAACAGGGGAAAGGCAGAGAAAGAGGGGGACAAAATCTGAAGCAGGCTCTAGGCTCTGAGCTGTCAGCACAGAGCCAGTGCAGAGCTCGAACTCACAAACTGTGAGCTTATGACCTGAGCCAAAGTTGGACACTTAATCAACTGAGCCACCTAGATACTCCAACTGTCCAGTTTTCCTAACACCATTTGTTGACGAGAATGCCTTTTTTCTATTGGATATTCTTTCCTGCTTTATCAAAGATTAATTGACCATATTGTTGTGGGTTCATTTCTGGGTTCTCTATTCTATTCTATTGACCTGAGTGTCTGTTTTTGTACCAGTACCATACTGCCTTGATGATTCCAGCTTTGTAATAATAGCTTGAAGTCCAGAATCTACGTGAGGGTGTTCATTCCAGGTTGGCCAAACCACCTCAAGGTGAAGCCCCCTCCCCAGCACTGCTGCCCAGTGGATTACACGTCAGGAGCTGTTCTCTTCTTGAGGGCACAGGAAGACTATGAGAGGGAGGGACTCGTTTGGACCCTTGGAGATAAGGCTGGTCCTCCCCCAGGGGGACGCCCTGCTGGCTTATTATTTTTAAGGTCAACTGTATTGAAATATAATTCACTTGCCCTACAATTCACCCATTTATCGTGTACAACACAGGGGGCTTTACTGCAGTTTTGCAGCTACCACCATAATCAACCGCTGTTGACTTTTAACTCTCCTGTCAAATGCAAGGATTAATTAATTTAAAAAGAAGAGCTCATATGATGAAAGTAACCAAAAATGGAGTAATCTGGTAAGAACATTCTATAGGAATCCATGTCGCGCTGGCTGTTAACTTTTAGACTCTCATCCTGCCTGCCTGAGCCGTGTGCCACCTGCGAGTTGCGGCCCCAGGTCTGCGCACAGGCGGCGGGCAGGACATCGGCGGCCTCCCCGGGCCTGACAACAGCCGTCACTCACCGGCCTTTGCTCCCTGTCTGCAGGTGTTCCACTGTGTCCACTTTGAGTGTCCGGAGCAGCAGAGCAGCCAGAAGGAAGACAACAGTGAGGAGTCGGGGACGGGGGACCCGGGCCTGGCGGGGCCGCAGCTCGACCCCCACGCCCTGCAGGCTCCCGGCGGCAGCTCGCTGCCCTCCAGCCCGGGCTCCGTCTCCCGCTCTCCCAACCGGCAGCACCAGTAACCGGGGTGCAGATGTGGAGCGACGTGGGTGGGCCCTGAGGGCAGTGGCAAGAACCTGCGCCCTCCCAGGAGGGATCTCTGTGGACTGCCCCTCTCTCCTCCAGGGAGGAGCCGACCTGGCTGCAAAAACAGACACAGAACAGGCTTTTTCCCAAGGGCAGAAAGGGGCTGCTTTGTTCTCAATTTGTTCAAATCAAGCTGGTCTCCAGGGGGGGAGAATGGGTCTTCAATCTTCATCAAGCCCACCGTTAACACCCTACCTCTCTAATCTCACCCGGGCAAAGGGGCAGGAGGAAGCGGTAGGCAGGCGCGAGTCAGAGTACAGAAATGGCCCACCAGCACTCAAGCGGAGGAGAATGTGTTAGGCCTTATTACCTGGAGGCTCCCTGTAGGAAATGCGTTTCCGGAGTTTATTTTCATGGAACACATCGCCCTGGCAACTAAATGATTTTTTTTCTTTTAGTTAGCGTCCGTTCGCTGAATCATAGGTGTTCCAGTTCTTTTTGAAATGCTCAAACAGCAAATCACCTGTTTTAATCCCTTTTGCTGCTGTAATTTTCCTTCCTTGGTTTTGAATGGTTAAGCCTGGGGTGGAACAGAGAAATACTGTGCACGTTGCCTGCACGAGGCCGAGACTCGGCTCATCATGGCACCAGGTCTGACCAGGAAAATCCTTTGAGGAAGTTCAACAAGATACACAGTGAGCAAATCAGTGCAAGGACACTGGAGTTAACGGTCACTCGAGTTCCTGAGTGACTCACTTGTCATTCCTGAAAGGTACCCAGCCTCTAAGCTTGGGAGGCTGACAAGGAACTAGTTCTTATGCCACTGTTAATTTATGTTCACATTATGTAAATGTATATATATATATATATATATATCTGTAGCAGCTTCCGGTTGGGCGGAACCCTCCTTCCAGGCACCACAGGTTAGCTGAGCCTGAAGGAGGGCAGCCCTCCTGCCCGTCAGTGTCAGGAACACAAAACTGGGCCTCTGCAGTTCAGGGGTTGCTGTGTTTCACCCCCAGACCACACGATTCAACTGGGGACTGGAAAGAAAAGCAGTTGTAAGAAAGCGTTTCTCCTCATTCCCCTGTGACCTTCTCGTCTGACTGCCATCGCTTCATCTGGCTCCGTCAGGTCTCTTACTTAGTAACTTCCAGTCTAGCGCTAACTAACCCCTGGAACTTGACCAGACTGCCATCTGATGTTCCCTCCTCTCCAGAGCTCACCCCAGGGGCTCTGCTGCACTCAACTCCATGGGAAGCTCGGCCAGGCTGAGCACCGTGGTCCCCTGCTCCCCCAGATGCAGGCCCAGGTCCTCTGCACACCCTGTGACCCCACTTGGAGGAAGATGGGCTTTCATGGGGGCTCCTGTCTGGTGTCTTAAAGACCTTGTTTGTGGGTGTACACAGAGCCACTGGGCCAACTAACTCCATGCTTTCCCCAGTATAAGCTAGCTTTGAGTGATCTATCAGTACGGGAACAGGGCATCAAACCACATGATTAAACAGGTAAGCTTTCTCTTTGAAGGCCAGCATCCCTGCTCATGCCACAGGGGGCTCCGGGTCCCCCTCTGCCCTCAGCTCACACATCCGACCCCTTCCCTCCTGTGCGGGGCCAGCAGAACCCATGAGAATGCCAGGCATCTCACCAGGGGAGAGAGGCTCCCGTAACAGATGGCAGTGCCTCCCGCTTGCTGTGGGTGGCCACCCTCCGTGACTTGGCCGCTGCCTTTGTCAGCATCCAGCACACAGTTGCCAATTAGCCTGGAGAATTCCTGTCCACTCGGCACTTCCTTCAGCGGGGTAGTCACTGCCCAGTGGGAACAGGAGGAACCCGATAAGTCAACGAGGGTTGAGTTCAGATGTTTGGAAAGTATCCATTCAGGGCTTTCCTTCGAATCTTTGAAGTCTTCTGTCCAGAGAGGAGTCCCTGGGCTCGGAGGCTGGCACTGCTGACCTGGGAAGAGGGGAGTAGGCTGGCGAGGACCTGGAAGGTTCTAACCCTCTATCTCCAGACCATGCAGTCCCACTGCCCCACGTGCTACACGTCACCATCCGAGGCACAGGTAACCAAATGTTGGTCTGGCAGTTCACCGTCCCATCCAAAAAGGCACAGACCACAAGGCTTTACCACCAGACCCACATCTGGGCTTTTCCAGCCAGTGGCTTGCTGTCTCCTTCTCTGTCCTGTGGATTTCCATCCGTGTTCCCACCTCCCACACATCCACCGTGAGGTCTGTCTGGAGAGAACAGACTTTGGTAAGGGAAAAAGGGGAAGATGTGGCCATGCTGATTGCACACAGCAGCGGGGGCGGGTGGGGAGGGGTACTGAGGGCATAGCCACAAGCCATGAGGTTGCTGCGCTGTCTCCCAGCCCTGACTGGGGCCTTGCCTGCAGGGAAGCCTGCCCGGGAGCCCAGGCAGACACTGACAGAGTTCAGAAGCTGCTCTGGTTTATCTCCTGTTACCAAGCCAGTGGGCTCCATCTTCGGTCCTTCTGGCTGGGGCCCACAGACCGCGGTCAAGGTGTGTCGCACCAGACAGATGCAGGGCGAAGCACAGATCTCCAGGAAATGCGGGGTGAGTGGGCAGCCGGGAAGAGGTCCCCAGTGGACTGGCATTCTCCAGTGCCCTGGCTGGCCCTGCGGAGGACTCCTCCCTACAGCTCACTAGACCACAATGGCCCTCAAAGCTTGAAGAGACTAAAGGATCTGAATGGGAGTGCAGAGAAGACAGCCTGGTAGCGGCTGGAAGGATGCCCAGGTGCCTGCGGAGTCTTCAGCCCAGGAGATGGGGGAGGCAGACTCCGCCGTGGAGTGTGAGGAGGGAAACACAGCCCAGTGAGGAGGGGGTGGGGGCCGATGCCGGGCTGTGGCTCCCCCACTCCTGTGAGGATGCAGCCCCAGTGGTGGTTGCTTTGAGGAGAGGTCAGGTGAGGCCTGGCCCTCAGGGGAGATGGACAGAGGGGTGCTTGTGGCCCCTGGCCCTTTACTGGGATGCTTCCCAGTTGGAAACTGTTCAACCACCGCCCAGGTCAGGAACGAGAACACTGCCAGAATGTCCTGCTCTTCATTTTAGATCATGTTTTTCAGGAGGGTAAAAAAAAAAAAAAAAAAACTACACTGGGACTTTGGGGGGATGGCTTTCACCTTCTGGTAGCTCCTGGGAGGGCCAGCGGGGGTGACAGCAGCCTGGTCAAGGCGGTCTGAAAGGTGGGGTTGCTGCCGAGCATGTGGGACCCGAGCCAGCTGTGATCGTATGACGCGCGCTCACACCTACCCAGACACAGATGCTTGTTTTCTCATCCTCTCAATGCTTTTTCTGGTTTTTCTTCTGATTTTAGTTAGAACCATGAGCCCACGATGAATGTGGGACTCTTCTCAATTGCTCTTTAAATTGTCACTTTTTAAATCTTATTAAACGAAGTGTCGATTCCTGACAAATACATTAAAAGTGTTTTATTCCTAGAAGAATTGGGAAAAGAAATTATTTTCAGCAAGAGTGGGATGTGTTTGTTAGATGGATTCCTTGTCCCCCCAAAATGAGTTTTAAATTGGTGTAAAAAATTGCTCTGTAGTTATGCTGTCGCCCCAGTGGTCAAATCACTGTGCAGATGGATCCGACCCGTATACTTCACTTTTTTTTTTTTTTTTTTTTAGAAGATAACAAAAATTGTAATCACTTATTCTTTCTAGATAGAGACTGGGGTGGGGGGGGAAGGTATAGGCTGCAATAAAAAGGAGAGGTGTGTGCTGGGGCCACTTGGTATAAAGAGGGGGCACGCACATACCCCACCGCAGGCTTCGATTAAGATCGTCCCTTTGGACAAGGAAGAACAGTGTCAAAAGGGGAAAAGAAGGGGCGCCTGGGTGGCTTAGTCGGTTGAGCGTCCGACTTTCGCTTAGGTCATGATCTCGCGGTTCGTGGGTTCGAGCCCCGCGTCGGGCTCTGTGCTGACTGCCAGCTCAGAGCCTGGAGCCTGTTTCAGTCTGTGACTCCCTCTCTCTCTGGCCCTCCCCTGCTGGCGCTGTCTCTCTCTCTCTCTCTCTCCTAGAAATAAATAAAAAATATTAAAAAAAAAAAAAGGGGAAAAGAAAATTAAATTTCTCCTTCCAGGAGTTTCTCCTCATTAGCGTTTGCATTTTGGTGTTACCTTTTAATCCCGCCCCCTGTGCAAGTGGCCGCTTCCTCTGGACGCTGCGAGGTCGGGGTGGCTGTCGTCGGCCGTGGCTGCGACGGGCACAGGCCATGCTCCATTTATTTTTGCAGCCACAGCCATCGATTCTGTGTGTTTGTCCTGACAGCAGCTCCAGCAGGAGTTCAGTGCTCATTAGTGGCCCCAGGAATTTAAAATGCAGCTCGTGGTTCTGTACCACCGTGGGTTTTATTATTATAATATTAAATTAGAAGTCATCCTGCTGCCTGCTGTTTGCTCAGGAGTTTCTGGAAAAGGGGAAGGGAATGGTTTAGACAGCATGCAGGGCAACTAGGACTCTGTCTCTCCTTCTGGAAGGTGACCGGTCACCCCCAATTACTGAACAGGATTCTGAAGCCCCAGTGGTGGGAGAGTGTACATGGAAAAGGCGGTGAGAGGGTTGGGTCGGAGGACAGGACTGGCCAGAGGGGCCCTGCGCCTCCTGCCTCTGGAGACTGGGCCTGTTCAGAGGGCTGTGTGCTTCCCACCTCCCCGAGGCAGGACTTCTTGCCGGAAGGATGCGGGCAGAACCTGCCCCCATGGCAGGGGTGTGGAGCAGGTACAGAAGAGCTCCCCCCACCCCCTGCAACACGTACGTTTTGAATATCACTGGTCTCCTAGATTGTTATAAAACATTATAGTAAAGGAGCACCTGGGTGGCTCAGTGGGTTCAGCGTCCAACTCGTGAACAGCTCAAGTCATGATCCCAGGATCGTGGGATGGAGCCCCGCGTCCGCCTCTGCACAGAGCCTGGAGCCTGCTTGGGATTTTCTCTCCCCTCTCTTGGCTCACATGCTCTAATTAAGAAAAATATATTAGTAAGTTAACAATGCTCACGGAATAACACTCCAACCTAGCAGAAGGGACAAAGTTCCTCCCCTCTCATCTGGCTCGGAATCACCCTTAACCTGGGCCAGGTCATTCATTTCCTCTGTGACAGACTCACTGAGGGGCCATAGTGCCCCCTGCCCACCCCAATCGTCCTTCCTCACAACCTGGCCTCTCCGAGACAAGCCGAGCTGTAAAGGGGTCCTCCTAGCCCATCAGGTTGGTTTCTTCTTCTTTTTTTTTTTTTTTTTTTAAAGAACTGAAATATTCCCCAAGGGGCTTCCTGGCCTAAAGATCCACAATCATCCACCTATAATTTATGATAAATGTCTAGAGCATTTACCATTTGCATCCTGAGTATTTATAGCCCTGAGCCCAGGTTGGGGGGGGGGGAGGGGGAGGAGGTGGCAGCCTACACCTGTCTCCGCCTTTGTCTCCAGCTCAGCTGTCACCGGCTGTCACTGGCTGGGACAGCTGAAGAATGCCAACTTTGAGAGACTGGAGAGTGGCTCCATCCCATCTAAAGGTGGGAGGGAGGCCCCAGCTCAGTGCAGAATGGGGGGGGGAGCACTACCCTGAACAGAGGGCGGAGAGGGAAAAACAGGCAGGAGGGTCTGAGAGGCTTTTATGATGGGACCTGGGCGCTGGGGCTTGCATTTCCATGGATGCCCTGGGAACACTGGCAACACTACCTGTCTGTCCATCCGTCACCAAATACTCCCATCGTGTCATGTGAGCCCCAGGGCTTGTGGCCCAAAATAATGGACCTCACCCAGGTGGACACACACATTGCTAGGGGTGGTGGCCTCAGCTTGCCACCCAGGGGGCAGGGGCAGGCTGGTCCCCCCCTCCCATGGCTACGTCCAGCCCCGGGGTCAAGGCTGTCCCCATCCACATCTCCTCCCACTGGGGCCTGACAGTGTTCCCTCCAAGACCTGCCCCAGGCAGTGGGGTCTTGCTTTCAGCGGCTCACGCCCCGTCCACAGCGCCAGGCACCCACCATGAGATCTGAGAAGCTTGTAGGTGAGGACAGCGGGGCACAGAGCCCACTGACCAAGGCCCTGGGGCCTGCCTCTCCCAGCCGCGCTCCCCTGGAGGGCAGCTCAAGTTCTCCGGGTTCCCTTCCAGAAGTGACCTTCTAGGAGGCAGTGCCCACTCTGAGGGACAGAAACCTCCCTGAAACCAAGGTCCTGAGGCCACCCCAGCCCAGCACCTGGAAAGGTCAGCTTCTGGAGGAGTGTGTGGAAAGGGTGACCGGAGGGCCTCAGGGCTGGCCTGCAGCTGGACCTCTGAGCGACTCTTGCCAAGCTTGTTATACCTGAATTTACAAGACAGCGTGACCCTCCACCGCCTCCGGGGTTTCTGGGTTGCAGAGGTTGGTGGGCGCTGCCCCCACCTCCCTTCCCGGGCCTCTGGGATGTGGGGGGCATGCTGGGCCTGGGGTGGGAACGGCCCTTCTCAGCCGTCTATGAAGGACTCCAGGAGCTCCGTCCAAAATTCTAAAGCTCAAAGGTCAGGGCTGCTGTTTGGAATAGTATTAATTTGTGAACAGAATGCGGCCTCTTCCTCATTTTGCAGAGCAATCTAAGCCAATATACCACATGTGTGCGTTCAGAACACCGGGAAGGCGCTGCGGGCCTGCCGCTGCGGGTTTCCTCTTAGAAGTGAGGCTGCCTGCGCCTCTCCTCGCTCGTCCCTCTGTCCTCAGCGCTTGCCAGCCCCAGGCCCCCCACCTTGTTTTCCCTGCCTCTGGGAGATGGGGGGCCAAACATCTCCGGAGTCGGCGCTGTCCGCTTGGTTGGGGCCCCGGCAGGCAGTTCCAGGACTCGCGCCGTGACCACACTCCCTGGCGCTTTCTCAAAGCAGGGGTGACCTGGAGCCCCTGTGCGCCCTCTCCACCCCTGCAGTGACCTGTTCCATGCCAGTTCTGGTGGAGAGAAAATTTCATCACCTTGAGCCCAGACCCGGTTCCCTCGTCGTGTCTGCGGCTCCGGTCAGCCCGGCTGCCAACCTTTTCTCTCTTCTCCTGTGCGACCAGCTCACAGGTGTTCCTCTGTGGGCGTCCCTGTCCTTGCCTGCGGCCCCCGCATGACTCCCGCAAGTGTGGGTGACGCTCCCGCAGCTCCGTTGCGGCCGTGCCTGACGTGATTCCACGCGCCCCCGGGGCGGGGCCCGAGCGCACGCGCAGGGGCAGGGCCGAGACTCGGGTTTGACCTAGGGAGCCCTGACTCCACGTGCCCAAGGGCGGGGCCCTCACCTCACGCCACGTGCAGGGGCGGGGCCGAGAAATCCACGCGGCGGGGGGAGGGGTGCCAAGACTCCACACGCCAGGGGGCGGGGTTGAGAGCACGCGCAGAGGCAGGGTGGAGACTCCAAGACTTGACGTAAGGAGCCGTGACTCCACGTGCCCAAGTACTGGGCCCTCACTCCAAGCGCCAGGGGGCGGGGCCCTCGCCCCACGCGTGGGGGCGGAGAGGGGGGAGGGGCAGGGCCGAGACTCCACGCGCCTGGGGGCGGGGCCGAGACTCCATGGGCCCCGGAGCCCTGAGTCCACCGGCTGAGAGCGGGGTCCCTCAGTGCGCAAGGGGGCGGTACAGAGCTCCACGCGCAGGGCGGGGGGTGTGACTCCGAGCGCAGGAGGGCCCTGCCCTAACCATGCAAGGCAGGGGGCCCTGACCTCACGCACGGCACGCAAGCCTGCACTTGGCGGCCTCGCATCTTGACCTCACACTGAGCTCTTGTCACTTAAACCAGGTAGCTGTGTGTTGCTGCTGCAGTAGTTCCTTCCCTGAACCCAGCTAAACTCAGGACTTGACAGTGCTCTTTGCCCACTTCAGCCGGCGGCTTTAGCTGAGCACTGGAACTTACTGTCAGGACCATTTTGAAACTTGATTTGGGCACAGTCGTGAGGGAACCCTCCTAGTTTTGATCGTCTAGAACTGACAGATTTCCAACAATCCGTTGATGTAAATATTGAACAAGACAACCCCTCCCAGAGAGCCCTGGGGTTCACCAAGCAGCTGCCCCCCGCCCCATCCCCTCGGCCTGTGAACACCGCCAAGCTCAGGTCGTTTTCTAAGTGCTGGGGACGTAGCAATGATGGAAGGGGAGAAAAGAGGCCAATGTCCTGCCTTCAGGGCACTTACATTCCAGAGGAGGGTGACAGATAAGAGACAACATACACGACTGTAAATGTGGCTCATGCCCATGTGCTCACGTGAAGGTCTAGAAATGGTTGCCCAGGTAGAAACCAGAGAAGCTTTCAAAGCCCTGGGGGCAAAGGACCAAGACTCAGGCCCTCTGGGGAGGGGGGGGGCACCTTTCCAGGAGGAGGGAGAGTGAAAGGGAGGGCCCTGCCTTGCAGCATGGCTGGTGTGGTGTGGACTAGTGACAGGCAGGGGTGGGAGGTGAGGC